GGCAAATCAGCAGCCGGTATTTTTTTGAAGCACGTGTTGTGTCATGCTTCGTGCCGCAGCTAACTGGCTCAGTGGAAAATAAACAAAGGCGTAGTCATGTGCGAATCGCATTACTACAACAGTGGGCTAGCAACAGTTGCCGAGCTAGCCGCTTTCTATGCACTTTATGTCGCAGCGGGATACTCAGACCAATAAATGAGCTTTCGTGTACAAGTCACCTGGACGTGAGGCTTATAATTTCGAAGGCGTTCGTGCCCTTTCAACGCAGGAAAACGTATAAGCTTAGGAGCTGAAATTCTCAAAGTCTGGTTACTGTGATAGATGCAGATTTGCGCAAAGTCGTACACTCGCACCTGTTACATGGTGTGCCGAAGTGCTTGTTCTGGTTCCCTGATGATTGTGGGATTGTGAGAATGTACTGCTTGTCCCATTTCTGTTGATGGTGCTTGAGAAGATAAGAGATTTCACTTTAGCTGATCAGCGGAGGGACCACGATTGGGCCGATCCTTTCTGAAGTTCATGCTTTCAAGCGGAATTTTTGTTACTATGTGCTGATTGATAACTGCGCAGGAGATGTTTTGCAGCTTGTAAGTTGTCGCTTGGACACATCGCACAAAACGGTCACATTCCAGTTTGCGCCGGACTCTGACAAACCTGCAGTTATCGCAAAAAAACTGGTATTCTTTTGCTGCTTTGCATTGATCGCTCCGTGAGGACTTAACATGGGCACGGATTAGATCAACCACGAACGGGGTATTTGTAAAGGCTTGCTGTTCATACAGTTGTTTGGACTGGATGGTCACTTTGGTTAGCAGCTGGTGTGGAGCAGGAGGGGAATATTTTATGCGAAAGAAAATAGGTCTTTTTGGCAGGTGGCTTGTTTAATGTTAACAGTCAGTAGAAATGGCGCAGAATCTGGGGAATGGCTGGCTGCCCGAGCTAATTTGCTGTGGGTTGTTTCAGCTGGATCAGGATTGTCTGACGAGTCCACAGGTGGGAATCGTTGTCGATCAGCTAGAGAAAGTTATCCAGGTCAGATTTCTCAGTGCTTCTTCACAAAAGAGCCTCGCTACCCCTTTGGGGTTTTACATTTTCTTCTTTTCTTTGTTAATTCGAAAGTTTATCATATTGAAAGGCCGCAGTATTCGCATCTTGTTTG